ACGCGCCTGGGTGGCAGTTTTACCACCCCACCTCGCGCCGTGTTCTGTCCTCCCAGGACGTCACCTTTGACGAGTAGGTGCCTTACTACCGTCTCTTCCCCTACCGCACTGCACCCCTCCCCCCGCCGCCGCTCTTCCTTGCGCCAGGTCCTCCCCCGGTAGACCCCCTCCCCCCTCAGGGTCTTGCCCCGTCAGGTGTGTCCCAGGTAGACGCAGTCGAGCCGGTCGAGGTAGCTGTTGACTCTGGTGCTGCTAGAGGTGCTGAGCCTGCGGGTGCCGGGTCTGGAGGTGCTGAGCCTGGGGGTGCGGAGCGTGGGGGTGCTGAGTCTAGGGGTGCTGAGCCTGGGGGTGCTGAGTCTGGGGGTGCTGAGCGTGGGGGTGCTGAGTCAGGGGGTGCTGAGCCTGGGGGTGCGGAGCCTGGGGGTGGTGGGTCTGCTCGTGTGGTCTCTTGCAGTGCTTCGTCGAGGCGGGAGCTACTCTCTCCGTAGGAGCTGCGCGAGTGGTTTGCCCGGCGCTGGAGCCGTGCTGCTGGAGCTGGAGGTGCTACTGTTGCTGCTGGTCCCAGAGGTGCTCGTACTGGCAATACTGGAGCTGCTGGGACTAGGGGTGCTGCTGGGGCTGCTGGAGTTCGTCCTGCTGGAGGTACTGCTAGAGCTGCTGGCGGTACTGGAGCTGCTGGTCCTGCTGGAGTTGGTGCTGCTGGAGCTGCTGGAGCTGCTGGAGCTGGAGCTGCCAGGGGTGCTGGCGCTGGTGGTTCTGCTGGCGCTGGTGCGTCTGAGGGTGCTGGAGTTGGCGCTGTTGGAGCTGGAGGTGCTGCTGGCGCTGGTGCTGCCGCTGAGAGTACTGGTGCCGTCCCTGCGAATTCTGGAGGCGCTTCGTGGCCGCGGCCATACTTCGTTCCGCTCCTTGAGCAGGTTCTTGGTCTCCCGCCTTCTACTGGCCCTGCTCCTCCCTTAGAGTGTCCACCGCCTGTCAAGTCCCACTCACAGTTACAGCCCGCCTCCCCCCTACCTGCTCCTTCTCTCTACACTGGTCCTACTGGAGGTCTTGCTGAGCGTCGTGAGCCTACGTCTCGTCCTGCGTCGCCTGTTTGTGTTGCTTGCACTAGTGGTCATGCTCCACGTCCGCGTCCTCCTGCGGTCCCAGGCACACACCAGATGGCACTGCGTCCTTCCACTGCTCCTCTGCGTGTCCCGTTGCCATCTCCTCCACAGTCCTCTCTTCCTATTCTTGCTCCTCCGGAGTCTGACTCTCTTCGTGCTGCCAATCCTACTGTCACGCGTCTCCTAGCTACTGCTGTCACTGACCCTTCTTTTGAGTCCACTGCTGCGTCGGCCCTAGTTGCTGAGCTTGTTGACTTTGCTGCTCGCTGTTGTCTAGACTACGCTACTAGTCTTGTTGCAGAGTCTAAGTCTGTCTGTCCTCCATCCGTCAGGGGTGAGTGTGCTCTTAGCACGGACGTCCTTGAGGACAGGCAGAAGGAGTTCCAGTGTTTTGCTGCTTCTTTGCCTCATCTCGTGTCCACGCTGATTGCCCCTGAGGGAGACCCGGATGCACCACACATCCCGACTCCTCGATCGTACGCTGAGGCGATCGAGGGTCCCTACTCCTCTCAGTGGCAGTCAGCCATGGACGCAGAGATGGCTTCCTCGAAGCCCACAGGCACCTACGTTGATGAGGTTCCCCCACCTGGGGCGAACATTGTCAGTGGCATGTGGATTTTCAGGGTGAAGCGGCCGCCGAGTTCTCCGCCTGTCTTCAAGGCGCGTTACGTGGCTCGAGGCTTCAGTCAGCGGCAGGGAGTTGACTACTTTCAGACCTTCTCTCCCACCCCAAAGAGGACCACTCTTCGGGTGCTGCTGCACATAGCCGCTCAGCGCGACTACGAGCTTCACTCTCTTGACTTCAGCACAGCTTTCCTGCAGGGCAGCCTTCACGAGAAGATCTGGCTGCGCCGCCCACCTGGCTTCACTGGGTCGTTTCCTCCTGGTACCTAGTGGAGCCTCCGGCGGCCAGTCTACGGTCTCCGCTAGGCGCCCCGTGAGTGGCACGACACACTGAGGACTACACTTGCGGCTCTTGGGTTTTCTCCTTCTACTGCCAACCCATCGTTGTTTCTGCGCACTGACACCTCTTTGCCGCCGTTCTACATCCTCGTGTACGTCGACGATTAGTCTTCAGCGCACCATTACCTTGACTCAGTCACACATGGTGCAGCAGGTCCTTCAGCGCTTCGACTTTACGTACTCCTCGCCTCAGGCCACTCCTCTGTCTACTCGCCACTCGCTCTCAGCTCTGCCTTCGGATGAGTCCGTAGAGCCGAGTGGCCCGTACCCAGAGCTTGTTGGCTGCCTCATGTACCTGATGACCTGCACACGACCTGACCTTGCATACCCTCTTAGCATCTTGGCACGCTATGTTGCTCCTGGGAGACACTGACCAGAGAACATGGCTGCAGCGAAGAGGGTGTTGCGCTACTTGTGTAGTACGTCGGGCATGGGGCTTGTGCTTGGAGGGCGACGTCGAGTGGTCCTCGCAGGTCACGCAGATGCTTCTTGGGCTGACGACCAGGCTACGCAGCGGTCGTCACAGGGTTACACCTTCAGCCTTGGCTCCGGCTCTGTTTCGTGGAAAAGGGCACGGTAAAAGGTGTGGCACTGAAGGAGGGGGCTGGAAGCAAGGGAAAATGCAGCAAGTGTGTTGAAGGTAAAATCACAAAGTCCCCTCACCCCCACCACCAGGTACATGAGCCTTATGGCACCTTGGACATCGTAGCACCCGATGTGTGTGGGCCTATGAGGGTGGCGTCACGTCACGGCAGCCGTTACTTCGTTACCTTCACTGATTTGGGAACAAGGCACACATGGGTGACGGAGCTGAAAGATAAGGCAGAAGTGTTTCCTAGCTTCGTGACTTGGATGGCGGAAGCGGAGCGGCAAAGTGGGAAGGTGTTGAAAGTTTTGAGGACAGATAATGCTGGGGATTTTACAGGGGACCTGTTCAACAAGTTTTTACAGAGTAAGGGCATCCGATGGCAGCTGACTGTACCCTACACTCCACAGCATAATAGCATAGCGGAGCGGGTGAACCGTTCTCTACTGGATAGTGTGAGGAGCATGTTGGCAGATAGTGGGCTGCCACTGAAGTTCTGGGGTGATGCCTTGGCAATAGCGTGCTGGTCCAAGAACCGCCTACCTACCAAGGGACTTCGGGCAGATATGAATCCCCACGAGGCCTTCTATGGCAGGAAACCGAATCTGGGGTTTGCACGGGTGTGGGGGAGTATGGTGCAATACAGGGAGCCAGCTGGTCCGGATCATAAGTTGCTGCCCAAGGCTCATTGGGGGATTAACCTCGGTACCTGCCCAGTGAGCAAGGGGTGGGTGATCAAGGATGTAATTTCAGGAAAGGTCACGATCACCCGGGATGTTGTCTTCTACGAGGAGGTGAACTATCTGCAGTGGAAGGGAGTAGAGAAAGAGATTGCAGCAGCAGGGACAACAACTGCACCGGACAAGGTGGAGGATCTTTTGGAGGAAAAGGAGAGTGAGGGAGTTGGGTATGAAGGAGATGAGGAACTCGAAGAAGTGGAACGAGCAGATTCAGTTGATTGGGTGTGGGAGAAAGCACCAACCAGGGAAGCGGGTGAAAACAAGGGAGTGGAGATAGCAGGGGAGCAGCCAAGCAATGAAGTAGCTGAGGGTGGCAATGATGAAGTGGCTGGAGAAGAGGGAGATGAATACTCAGCAGCTGAAGAAGATAGTGATCCTTGGAAGCTCCTAGATAGTGAAGACAACAATGGCAAGATGAGAGAGATAGAGGACCTGCTTAAGGAAGGTGCCATCATCATTGGAAGGGAAGTGAAATCTGGAGAAGAGAATGAGAAGGCATTGGAGGGTTTCAATGGAGATGAGGCTGAATCACCTGCAGAGGAGTTGGGGAAAGGAAAGAGGGAAAAGAAACCAAACCCTCGGTATGCGCAACTGCTGATGACGTGTTGGAAGGACATCCATACCCACCTCCTACTCTCTGCCACAGCTACTGACCTAGTCTCGAATGAAGGAAAAGTGACACACAACCTGCCCAAAGAACCAGTGAGCATCGAGGAGGCGCTAGAGGGTCAAGAAAGGGAGCAGTGGAAAGCGGCAATTGAGGAGGAGTTGAACACATTGGCTGAAAGGGGCATATGGGAGCTAGTACCTATGCCGGAAGGGAGGAAAGTCGTGGGAGTGAAGTGGATTTTTAAAATCAAGACCGGTGATATGGGGCAGCTGGAAAGGTTCAAAGCAAGGCTTGTAGCCAAGGGCTACACTCAAGTGGAGGGGAAAGACTACCAGCAAAATGAGATCTACGCTCCAGTGAGCAAGTTGGCAATGGCGCGGGTTTTTCTCAAGGTGGTAGCAGCAAGAAAATACTTCATGGTGCAGCTGGATATTAAAAACGCGTTTTTGTATGGGGTGTTGAAGGAGGACATCTACCTCGAGCAACCACCAGGGCATGACGACGGCTCGGGCAGAAAATGCAAGCTCAACAACGCATTATATGGGCTGAAACAGAGTCCTAGGGAGTGGTATATGGCGATGGATGAGCGGCTACTGCAAGGGGGATTTCAGAAAAGCGAGTGTGATAGGGCATTCTAGTGGAAGGGAAAAGGGAAGGAGAAGGTGTTCTTGGTGCTATACGTGGACGAAATCTTGGTGGCAGGGGCGTTAGAGGAGGAGGTAGAGAAGGTGTGTGCTCATCTTGCAGAAGTTTTTCAAGTGAAGCAGATTCCGAGGACCACACTCTTTCTCGGCATGAACCTGGAGCGACGTAAGGAGGAGAGGAAGATGTTCCTATACCAGCAGAAATATTCCAGCAGGGTGCAGCAGAGGTTTGGCAATGGCTACACGAAGGCAATTTCGACACCATTGAGTGGGGTAGCTGAAAGCGACAGTGAAAGGGAGGAGGATGTCAACCAATGGGGCTGCAAAGAGAGAGCTCTGCAAGTATATCAGTCCATGGTGGGGTCTATCATGTATCCGGTCTCATGCACGCGTGTCGACATGGCATACGCAGCTAGCTATCTTGGGCAACAAGTGCAGCAGCAAGGGGAGAGAAAATGGAGAGAGATGAGGAGGACTATCGACTACCTACTGCAACATGAAGATGAGGGGCTGTTATTTGAAGGAGGTGAAGAGACCTTGGAGTTAGTGGGGTATGCGGATGCTTCACATGCATCCGATAAGAAAACAAGGAAGAGAGCATATGGTTACGTGTTTCTGCTCGGCGGGACAGCAATCATGTGGCAAGCGAAAAGGTTGGCTGACATAGCGCTCTCTAGTGCGGAAGCGGAGTACATGGCTCTGTTTTTCGCGTGCCAAGAGGGGGTTTGGCTGAGAAGGCTACTCAAGGAGATGGAAATCAAGGTGGAAGGGCCGACGGTGATACGCACGGATAGCAAATCTGCCATTGACTTGGCTCACAACGACAATTGGCACGGGAGGACCAAGCATATGGATGTGAAGTATCATTGGGTGCGTTCAAAGGTGAGTAGCAAGGAGTTCAAGTTTGAATTCGTACGTACGGAGGCACAAGCAGCAGATTTTCTGACTAAGGTGTTACCAAGGGCTAATTTTGAGCATTGCAAGAGAGAGGTTGGGATACGTACCTTGGCTGAATTGCAAGGGAGTGTGGAGCAGGCATAGAGCTGGTTCAAGGTGAAACGTGCGTAAGCTGGTTAGCAAACCACAGGGGAGATTTTAGACGGTGGTTAGCTAACCACGACCTAGCACAACCTGGAGTGACCTACATCGACCTAAGAAAAACCTACTTTGACGAGCTGAGACTATGGGGAAGCGAGGACCTAAGAAGAAGAGAGACTACCTATGTTGGGACGGTGGAAGGAGAAACACGGTAGCAGCACGACCTGCAGTGTGAAACGAAGAGAAGGAGAGGAAGCGTGCTGAAATGGAGAAGAACATGGCTGAAATGTCGTGCTTTCAAGTGATGTGAAGAGAAGTCACGCCGGGTCAAAGGCGCGTCCAAGGAAGTCTGAATTTCGAACTCAAGGCGCGTTTGGTGCATGGTTGGATTTGGAAATTGAGCCGAGTACAAGTCAGCTCGAAATTAGGCGCGGCGCGAGGGCGAAATCAGAAATCCTTTTGCTTATAACTTGCTTTGTGTGTTCTGTTTTTGTATGCCTTCTTCAATGAAATTACTTGAACTTTCTACCTTGGCGTTTTTCAGCAAATTCTTTCACACAGTTGAGGCCAGAGCTTCATGTGCTTGTTACTAAGACTCTTAATAGTCTTCATAATCTAGACCAAAGGCTGCGCACATACAAGACCTTCCGCATCCCCCCTTCCACATCCCCCCTTCCGCATCCCCCCTTCCGCATCCCCCCTTCCGCATTCCCCCTTCCGCATTCCCCCTTCCGCATCCCCCCTTCCGCATTCCCCCTTCCGCATCCTCCTTCCCGCATTCCCCTTTCCGCTTTCCCCCTTGCGCATTCCCCCTTCCTCATTTCCCCTTCCGCATTCCACCTTCCTCTTTCCCCCTTCCGCATTCCCCAATCCGCATTTCCCCTTCCGCATTCCACGGTCCTCATTCCCCCATCCACATTCCCCCCTCCGAATCTCCCCTTGCACATCCCCCCTTCCGCATTCCCCCTCGAACATTTCCCCTTCCCCATCCCCCTTCCGCAATCCCCCTTCCGCATCCCACCTTCCGCGTCCGCCCTTCCGCATTCCCCCTTCCGCATTCCCCCTTCCGCATTCCCCCTTCCGCATTCCGCATTCCCCCTTCCTCATTCCCTCTTCCGCAATCCACCATCCGCGTTCCCCCTTCCGCATTCCCCCTTCCTCATTCCCTCTTCCGCAATCCACCATCCGCGTTCCCCCTTCCGCGTTCCCCCTTCCCCATTCCCCCTACCGCATTCCAGCCTCAAACTCACTCCCTCGTGCTTCTTGTCTGATAGCCCCATATTTCCCTCCATGCTAGCCCCATTTTCCCCCCCATGCCTCATGTTTCCCCTCATTCTATCCCCATTTTCCCCCCCTTCTTCTGGCCCCATGTTTTCCCCCAAGCTATCCTCAGTTTTCCCCCAAGCTATCCCCAAGCTATCCCCAGTTTTCTCCCAAGCTATCCCCAGTTTTCCCCCAAGCTATCCCCAGTTTTCCCCCAATCTATCCCCATGATTCCCCCAACCTATCCCCATGATTCCCCCAGCATGGCCCATGTTTCCCCCCTGCAGGCCCCACGCTTCCCCCCTGCAGGCCCCATGTTTCCCCCCTGCAGGCCCCATTTTTCCCCCCTGCAGGCCCCATGTTTCCCCCCTGCATGCCCCATGTTTCCCCCATGCAGGCCCCATGTTTCCCCCCTGCAGGCCCCATGTTTCCCCCCTGCATGCCCCATGTTTCCCCCCTGAATGGCCCATGTTTCCCCCGTGCAGGCCCCATGTTTCCCCCCTGCATGCCCCATGTTTCCCCCATGCAGGCCCCATGTTTCCCCCCTGCAGGCCCCACGTTTCCCACCTGCAAGACCCCTTTTTCCCCCATGCCAGACCCGTTTCGGACCCGTGATAGCCCCCTAAACTCCCCCCGTGATAGCCCCGTGTTTCCCCCATGGTAGCCTCATGTTTCCAAGGCTGGGTGGTGAGAGCATCACTGCTTGCAGCAGCATGTGAAGTGCTTATACGCAAAGGAACCTCTCAGCCCGCACTATCTTACTCACCTTCGCTTGTCACATCCTTCATTCCCTACTTCCCGTACTGCTGGCCCCATGTTTTCCCCCATGCTATTCCAAGTTTTCCCCCAACCTATCCCCAGTTTTCCCCCAAGCTATCCCCAGTTATTCCCCAAGCTATCCCCAGTTTTCCACCAAACTATCCCCATCCATCCCCCAAGCTAACCCCAGTTTTCCCCCAAGCTATCCCCAGTTTTCCCCCAAGCTATCCCCATTTTCCCCCAAGCTATCCCCAGCGTTCCCCCAAACTATCCCCATCCATCCCCCAAGCTAACCCCAGTTTTCCCCCAAGCTATCCCCAGTTTTCCCCAAAGCTATCCCCAGTTTTCCCCCAAGCTATCCTCATGACTCCCCCGAGCTATCCCCATGCTTCCCCCTGTCTATCCCCGTGATTCCCCCAACCTGTCTCCATGATTCCCCCCTGCAGGCCCCATGTTTCCCCCCTGCAGGCCCCATGTTTCCCCCCTGCAGGCCCCATGTTTCCCCCCTGCAGGCCCCATGTTTCCCCCCTGCAGGCCCCATGTTTCCCCCCTGCAGGCCCCATGTTTCCCCCCTGCAGGCCCCATGTTTCCCCCCTGCAGGCCCCATGTTTCCCCCCTGCAGGCCCCATGTTTCCCCCCTGCAGGCCCCATGTTTCCCCCCTGCAGGCCCCATGTTTCCCCCCTGCAGGCCCCATGTTTCCCCCCTGCAGCCCCCATGTTTCCCCCCTGCAGGCCCCATTTTTCCCCCCTGCTGGCCCATGTTTCCCCCCTGCAGGCCCCATGTTTCCCCCCTGCAGGCCCCATTTTTCCCCCCTGCAGGCCCCATGTTTCCCCCCTGCAGGCCCCATGTTTCCCCCCTGCAGGCCCCATGTTTCCCCCCTGCAGGCCCCATGTTTCCCCCCTGCAGGCCCCACGTTTCCCCCCTGCAGGGCCCCTGTTTCCCCCCTGCCAGACCCATTTCTCCCGCGTGACAGCCCCCAAATTCCCCCGTGATAGCCCCATGTTTCCCCCATGCTAGCCTCATGTTTCCAAGGCTGGGTGGTGAGTGCATCGCTGCTCGCATCAGCATGTGAAGTGCTCACAAGCAAAGGAACCTCTCAGCCCCATAGTCTTATTCACCTTCGCTTGTCACCTCCTCTTTTCCCTCCCGCCCCTCCCCTTCCAAGGCTGGGTGGTGAGTGCATCGCTGCTCGCAGCGGCATGTGAAGTGCTCACAAGCAAAGGAACCTCTCAGCCCCATAGTCTTACTCACCTTCGCTTGTCACATCCTCTTCTTCCTCCCGCCCCTCCCCTTCCAAGGCTGGGTGGTGAGTGTGTAGCTGCTCATCTTAGCGTGTGGAGCGCTCTCAGCCGGCTGGCTTGTCAACTGGGGCCGCTCAATCGTCTGGGGTCTCTTGACCGGTCGGCCATCTGTCTCGCTGCTTGTATCGCTGGTCGACCCTTTGCTGCCAACCCTGCCTGGTGGGTGCACGGCACGCTGCACAGGTGACTTGGCCGTTTAACTCAAAAGTCGCCTGCTGGGTGCCTTGCTGTGCATGCCCTTCGGTGCCTTCCCAAATGCTCGCCGCACTGCTCACTTCCATGCCTACATGCTCTCCCCGTTTTTCCCCCCATCCTAGCGTCATGTTTATCCCCAAACTTTGCTCCCATGCTTCCCCCGAGCTATCCGCAAGAGTCCCCCAAGCTATCCCCATAATTCTTCCAAGCTATCCCCATGATTCCCCCAAGCTATCCCCATGATTCCCCCAAGCTATCCCCATGATTCCCCCGAGCTATCCCCATGATTCTTCCATGCTATCCCCATGTTTCTCATTGCAGGCCCCATGCTACCCGCTGCAGGCCCCATGTTTTCCCCGGGCGCTCACGTTCATATTCCCCCCCTGATAGCCCCATATTCCCCCCATGCTAGCCCAATTTATTCCCAATGTTAGCCTCATGTTACCCCCCTTCTAGCCCTATGTTATTAGCCCCATATTTCCCCCCTGCCAGCCCCAAATTACCCCGTGAACGCCCCATATTTCGCCCCAGGGATGCCCCATTCCCCCCCCCCCCCCCCTATCCCCATGTTTCCCCCCTACTGAAGGCCACATGTTTGCCTCAATGTAGCCCCATGTTATCCCCCTGCAGGCCTCACATTTCACCCATTCCAGACCCATTTCTCCCCCCTGATAGCCCCATATTCTCCCCGTGATAGTCGGTTGTTTCGTTGCTGCCAGCCCCATGTGTCCCCCCATGCTTGGCCCAATTTTTTACAAGGTGCTAGCCCCATGTTTAGAAAGAGGGTGGTCAGTGCATCACTTCTCCCAGCAGCGTGTGGAGCGCCCAGCAACAAAGGAACCAAGCAGCCCTCACACTACTACTTGCCTTCCCTTGTCACATCCTCTTCTCCCTCCCTTCCCTCAGCCTTCCCAGGCTGGGTGTTCTGTGCATGAAAGCTCCCAACAGTGTGTGGAGCGCTCAGCAACAAAGGAACCTCACTGCCCTCACACTCTTACTCGCCTTCCCCAGTCACATCCTCGCTTCCCTCCATCCCCTGCGCCTTCCCAGGCTGGGTTGTGAGTGCATGAAAGCTCCTAGCACCGTGAGATGCGCTCAGCAACAAAGGAACCTCACTGCCCTCACACTCTTACTCGCCTTCCCCTGTCACATCCTCGCTTCCCTCCATCCCCTCAGCCTTCCCAGGCTGGGTTGTGAGTGCATGAAAGCTCCCAGCACCGTGAGGTGCGCTCAGCAACAAAGGAACCTCCATGCCCCCACAAGAGGGTTGTTATGTCCCATGGTAGCTCCATATTTCCCCCCTGCTAGCCCCATGTTACCCCCATGCTAGTCCCATGTTTCCCCCCAACTAGCCCCATGTTTAACCCCTGCTATCCCCACATTTTGACCCTATTTGCCCCGCGTTTAGGTGCAGACTAGCTTGCACATATACCCCTAAGGCACAACTCCCTCACACAAGGCGCCACTTCCGCCAAGGCAAAGAGGACAAAACCAATGATTCTGCACGAGATGAGACATTGGTATGCATCCCTACCCTGCCCTGTCATTTCACCCCTGCCCTTCCCCTTCTGCCCTGGCACTCCCCAACCACCATTCACTACCTGCTGCGCTCCTCCTTCAGTCCAACTCCATACCTGCCCTGCCTTTCCCCCCATTGCCCTAGCATCCCTCCCTACCCTGCCCCCACTTCCCCCATATTAGGCCATAAGGTACCCCCTTGCTAGCCCTCCCTTCCCTCTCATTGTCATGAGTTTCCACCCTACTAGCCCTCCCTTCCCCATCATCATGCCATCAGTATACCCCTTGCTAGGCCTCCGTCCCCCCTCATCGTGCAAACAGTTCCCCCTTGCAAGCCCACCCTTTACCGTCATCATGCCATCACTAGCCAACCCTCTCCCATACGCTGGGCTCGCCCTATCCCATGGGCGGGCCCACTACAATCAAAGGGGCTGGCCAGCCCTTTCCCATGCAGTGGGCTCGCCCCATTTGATACTTGAAATTCATTGGTTGCTAATAATCAATTTGGGTGCATGGTGTGCAGAATGGGTCGTCCGAGAAAGATCTCCTCCGCAACATGGAGATCAAGGGTAAAAGACATTGTGAAGGGCAAGGACCAGACAAGCCTTGCGATATCAAAGACGATGCAAATTCCAATTTGCTACTTGCGGTGTGGTCTGACCTCGCTGATGGGTGAGGGTCGAACCGCGACAGTGTCCGACTTGGTGTACTTCCTTTTGCACGCTAGGTCAGGAGGAAAAGATGCCCTCATGATGGCAGCAAGAAAAGCTGGTGAGTGGAATATTTCAATGCCCGTGGTGTTTTGGAGTTGGCGTGTATGAACCTCAGCTCCTGTTCTGTTCTGTTGGGAACAAATGTTGCCGACACTCTGACGTTGAAACTGTGAGAATAAGCGAACAGGAATGAATGAACTAGCAGTGAAATGAGTACAAGTGGGAAACCCTAGAATTGTGTACCCCCTATAGGCTAACCCACTGTAGCCTACACAAGCATAACATATATAATGTTTGACACACCCCCATAGGCAAAGTGGGGGAGAACAAGGGGTCACAAGACCAGTCAAGCAAAGCAAAGCAAGCTCAGGGTGGATCACAAAGTCACCACACAGTCCGAGCACAAGAGCAGGGCAAGAGGCCAGTTCACATGCAGGAGTACAGACATATATATAAAACTAGACAAGCAAGAGCAGGTATATATATATGTCACAGTACAAGTGAAGTCAAGAGGAAAGCAAGTGAGGCAAGACAGGCACAAGACCCAGCTGGGTGCAAAAGCGCTGATGGTCACAAGGCGCGAGTGCCTTGGTGAACACATCAGCAGTGTTGGCCTCAGAGGCCACGTACGCAAGTCGCAACTGACCACGCTGCTGCAGCTCACGAGCAAGGAAGTAGCGGAGAGCAATGTGCTTCGTTCTGTGCTCCAAGCGCTGCTCTCGACACAAGGCCAGCATGGCCTTGTTGTCTACGTACAGCACTGGAGGAGAACGAGGCGGCTCTCCAAGGTCAGTCAGCAGGTAGGTGAGCCAGCGAAGCTCCTGTGCAGCCATGGCCCCGGCGTAGATCTCAGCCTCACAACTGGAGCCGAGAACCGAAGACGAGCGAGTAGACCGCCACGAGACAGAGCCGGAACCAAGGCTGAAGGTGTAACCCTGTGACGACCGCTGGGTAGCCTGGTCGTCAGCCCAAGAAGCGTCCGCGTGGCTGGTAAGGACCACTGGACTCCGCCCTCCAAGCACTAGCCCCATGCCCGACGTACTGCACAGGTAGCGCAATACCCTCTTCGCTGCAGCCATGTGCTCTGGTCTGTGTCTCCCAGGAGCAACATAGCGTGCAAGAATGCTCAGAGGGTATGCAAGGTCAGGTCGTGTGCAGGTCATCAGGTACATGAGGCAGCCAACAAGCTCTGCATACGGACCACTCGACTCTACGGACTCATCCGAAGGCAGAGCTGAGAGTGAGTGGCGAGTAGGCAGAGGAGTGGCCTGAGGCGAGGAGTACGTGAAGCCGAAGCGCTGAAGGACCTGCTGCACCATGTGTGACTCAGTCAAGGTAATGGTGCGGCGTGCTCTGTCCCGAGTGATCTGCAAGCCAAGGTAGCTGCGCAGTTCACCCAGGTCTGTGCACGTGTGTCTCTTCAGCAGCTCGGACTTCACGTAGGCGAGTCCAGCAGTGTCCGCTGTGGCAAAGACCAAGTCGTCGACGTACACGAGGATGTAGAACGGCGGCAGGGAAGTGTCGGTGCGAAGAAACAGCGACGGGTCAGCAGTAGAAGGAGCAAACCCAAGAGCCGCAAGCGTAGTCCTCAGTGTGTCGTGCCACTCACGCGGTGCCTGGCGGAGACCGTAGACTGGCCGTCGGAGGCTCCACTGGGTGCCAGGAGGGAAAGTCCCAGTGAAGCCAGGTGGACGGCGAAGCCAGATCTCCTCGTGCAGGCTACCCTGCAAGAACGCAGTGCTGAAGTCGAGAGAGTGAAGCTCGTAGTCGCGCTGAGCGGCTATGTGCAGCAGCACCCGAAGAGTAGTCATCTTCGGGGTGGGAGAGAAGGTCTGAAAGTAGTCAACTCCCTGCCGCTGACTGAAGCCACGAGCAACGTACCGAGCCTTGAAGACAGGTGGAGAGCCCGGTGGCCGCTTCACCCTGAAGATCCACATGCCACTGACGATGTTCGCCCCAGGAGGGGGAACCGCGTCAACGTAGGTGCCTGTGGACTTCCAGGAAGCCATCTCTGCATCCATAGCTGCCTGCCACTGAGAGGAGTAGGGACCCTCTACGGCCTCCGCGTAAGAACGCGGAGTCGGGATGTCTAGTGCATCCGGGTCTCCCTCAGGGGCAAGCAGTACAGACGCGAGATGAGGTGAAGCAGCCGCTAGACACTGTAACTCCTCCTGCCTGTCCTCTAGGACGTCCGTGCCAAGAGCACACTCACCCCCCACGGACGGAGGACAGACAGACGCAGACTCAGCAACAAGACTAGCAGCGTAGTCGAGACGACAGCGAGCAGCAAAGTCGACGAGCTCAGCGACTAGAGCAGACGCAGCAGTGGACTCAAAAGAGGGGTCAGTGACGACAGTAGCAAGCGGACGCGTGACAGTAGGACTGGCAGCACGAAGAGAGTCCGACTCAGGGTCGGCAAGCGCAGGAAGAGAGGACTCAGGAGGAGAAGGCAAAGGGGCACGCAGAGGAGCAGTGGAC